GTTTACATCACTGGGCGCTCCATCAGTTTCACTCTCATCAGCCCCACAGGTAGTTCAGTTTTATTGAATTTGTTTGCAATGGAACAAAGAGTTCAACTAAAATCAATGTATTGCAAAAGAATCCCTGTGATTGTTGGACAGAAATTAAATTTTATTCATTTAATCAGAGATTTTATCATTTTTTGCATTTTTACAAATAAAAACTGGGGATAAAAAACTTCAAAAAGACTTTTTTTTGCTACATGAATCAACAGGGTTTATGGGAAATACAGTCTGATGATGATATAGCTACCTGTCATTCATTCAAGCATTTCTTTGTAGTTATATTCTTTTCCAAATAATGTGAAAATATATTCAGTTTTAGTAATAGGCTACTAGTAGCAGCTCATATTAATTATCATGATTATTATCTTCAGTATGTTACATAATTAATTCTGTTGTTTCCTGCCAGTGTGCTTATATTTAGTTTTTGTTTGAAGGTGAATCTCAGCAAAGCAGCGACACAACAGGATCATTGATCACTGCGTCCCAGTCAGTGGGAAACTTCAAGACTCTGCAGCTAAAAAAACAAGTTGGACAATGGGAAATGAGAATGATGTCAACTAACCCCTACACTCTGAAGGTCATGGGTGAGGCCTCCGTGATTGATTTAAACTGATCACAAAATGAATACCTGTGTGTTTGTTAGAGCCACGTGACTCTTAGTCGTCACTTACCTTAAAGTCCACATCTTCATTGTTTTGGCTTGGATGTTTCTCCTGTGCAGGAAGGAAAATCCTCCAGCACTCTGCACCCCCCACCGACACCCGCACCTCCTCATGATCAATTGCAATCGCTTCCCTTATCTTTTCATCTGAAATTTGAAATTGAACAGTACCAACACTTTGCACAAGGCTTTGACTGCTCTACTCTGATCAAGAATCACGGCGTATTTTATTGATGAATGATAAAAAAATAAATCGCTGTATCTAAATTTTTTATCAGTAGCAGCCAGTAACCCATTTCATTTGGAATACGCATAGAAAACTCCAGTACCATGTCCTAGCTTTGTAGAGAGCACAGTGAGAGTAATTGTACAAGGAAAAAAAACATGGCTGAGTCATTGTTTGCAGTCCTGTTAGCTCAAGTCTAACAGCGTTCGCTACAACTCCCACTACAGCTTCACACTTTTTCTTGCTGTTGACTCAAAACAAAAACAACTGTAAACACACTTGTGCAATGTTATGGGGGAAAAAAGAACACTAGTCTAGTGTCACTAGGCTAGTGAGTAGTAGTGAGCAGGAGGGGAAACAATGAATGGCTTGTTCACCTTTTTGAATTTTGAATTTTCCTCATGACTTTTTATTTGCAGGTCAGAGTCCTATTGACTTCCTGTTTGACTTCCTGGAGGCAGCGCAGGGCCTGATCACAGGATTCGATGTCCTCGACACACGTCCCAAAGCTGGTAAAGTAATATCAAAATATGAATTGATGATGTGCTAACATCACCAAGGCAGACATGATGATTTTTCCTTTTCTTTAAAGGTGTCAACGGTAGCTTGTTGGTGTCTGTAACGGGGAGTGACTCTGCCACGCTGACTGAAGTTGCTCTGATTGAATCGGCGGGGGCAGGGGAGATTAAAGGAGCTGTGCTGCCACAGGGGAGTGGAAACTTCTTGGTTCAGTTTGAGCGGATACCATCAGTGGCGTTTGTGGTGCGGGTGAAGGGGCAGAATGTCAGCAGTACCCCCAGAGCATCCGTAGTCTTCCAAAGGCAGTCGCCTATCAACTTCAGAGCCTCCAATGTGACTATCACCGTGAGTACCCATCCCTCTGACCATGGCTGTGTTACACAGATGTGTAGACAATATGTAGCAACAAAAACTGTCCACTTTATAAAAATATGTAAAGGTGTATGTAAAAATTAATCAATACAAACATGGACTTTTGTCTGATTCTCTCTGTATTTAGGCTGATTCAAATAGCATCTTAGTACCAGGAACACCATTCTCTGTGCCCTTCTCTGTGATGACCAGTGGAACGGAGGGAAATTTCACCATCCGAGCCACCAACAGCCAACGTTTTGACTCAACCTCTCCAACCAGTTTATTCCTGGAAAGTGGAAACAGTACTAATGGTACAGTGACCCTCTCAGCACCTCTTAACACCCCATCTGGTACGGATGTCACCCTGACCATTGAGGCTGAGGCTCCGGGCGGCGCAGACACCAACTATATCGTGCTGCGTTTCTCTGTTGTTAACACGGTAATACTCACACTGAAGAAGCACATTTATCATTCACATTAAATTTCACATTTTTACACGTTCAGCTGACCAATCGAATACCTTCACCATTTTCCCTATAATTACTAACAACTTACATTATTCTTTCCAGGAAACTTTTCCAAAAAGATTCCCTGAAAAATTAAAACCTTACCTGAACTTCTTCTAACTTCCTTCATGTGCATGTTTTTTGACTGATGTAAAACTAGCAGACTTTATACCCTACGGCAGTGAATAGTCATTCTAGTTTATTAAATCCCTTCATCATTGTGTTCACTGGTTGAATCACTGATGTAAAACTATATCTATTCTTTCTGCTCCTCATAGGTGACTGATTTCACTCAGCCAGTGTGTGAGCTGCTCAGCCTGCGGTCCAACTGCTCTGAAAACTGCAGCTTATCGACATGGGCGCTCTCTGCCCGGGTGAGTGATGGGGCTGAGGGGACGGGCGTCGACCGTGTCAGCCTCAAACAAGGCAACGGGACCATGAACACCAGCCTGGCCGCTGACAACGAGAACGTAACGCTGGTGTCCTACAGTGCATCTTGCTGTTCGCCTGATATGGAGCTGCAGGTTGTGGATCGGGTGGGTAATGTAGGCTCCTGTTTCTACACACTGCGGGAAAATCCACCAGCTGCTATTTCTTTATCCACCAAAGTCACTCAATCACTCTTTCTCTGCCTTAGCGTGGTGGTACTAGGTCTCCATATACTGACTGAGGGGGGCGTTCAGTAAATCCAGTCTCACTGCTGTTATCAACACAGTTTGCACCAGGTGCTAACACTTGTTTTCAAGAAAGTTTTTTGTAAAGCTTCAGGCTCAGGTTCAGGTTGGATTATTTTCAAGTTTAGCCAAATTTAAGAAGAAATTTTGAATTCTGTCACTCTCTTTCTCTTTCTGACTCTGCTGATTGTCTGTGTGGATGCATTGAAATTACGCATGTTTGTTGCATTACCCTGACGAGGTAGCAGTCAGTGAAATAAATCAAGAACTTGCCAAAGGGGAACTTCTTAAAAATCCGCAATGATTTGCAGAAGGCCATTGTACTGTGGAAACATGATGACCTTGTGACAGAAACCTCAAACTTCCCTACACAACTCCCACTCTTAAAGAGCATTGTATTTGAGCCCGAGCAAAGTTCTGTAGTTGATTCAAGCCATTTGGACTGTTGTCAAGTTCAGATGGAAACGATGTTTAACAGCCATGTTCATCTGGCTGATACTGGGAAAAGGCAAATTGTTCTGCTAACCAGTAAGGCAGAAAATGTTTAATAATTATTTATTTGCTAGTAATAGTATGTGTGAAATTTGTACACTGGCACTAAACCTGTGTCTTTTTGGCTAGATTAATGTAGTAATGCAATTATGTATCTTTTTATGTATGATATATTCTGTGTTAATCTGTTGCCGTTGTCAGATTGGCTATATTTAATTTGTGAGAAAGCTTACTTCTTTCTCATCACCTTGCGTCTCAAATTTGAGAGTATCAGACAGGTTCAGTTGGGTCTGAAAAGCGCAGGCATGGGCTGGGTTTGGCTCTCAGTCTAGGCCCGTGGAGAGCTCTACTGTAGGCTACTTGCACAGTAACACAAAGTTAGTGAGGTGGGCTGGTGAAGGTAGCCAAACAGAGGTGGCAGAGACCAACACAGAGCCAGAAGAAGAGTACGTATTGAACGTTTGTCAGATGATTCCATGTCGGACTGATGTGTAAAGGGCTAGATATAGTCCAACCCAGATCAGACATCACACATGTTACAGTCCAAAACATGAATATGGAAATTATAAATTGAGTTAGGCAGCTGTTAGTTAATCTGTTTGTAATATCAAATATATAAAACGATAATATGTTGGGGTGTGGTGTCTCGTCTTGTTTTGGAGTTTGTCTTCCCCCTAGTGGCGAAATTGATTAATGCAGCTTTATATTATGAAGTGATTTTCATGTACATGTATCACTGGGTGATTAACTATTCTGATGCTTGTTACTGCTTTTATAAATGTAGTATGTCCTCTGTATTTAAATAAGCCAACCTAAATCCTAAACTTGAAAAGAGAAATCCTACTCAGAGGAAAAAACAGTTGCTCCAGCTCTAAACTGCTCCAGACCTCCAGACAGCTCATCATCTGTTTCCACACTTGCACATGGAGACAGACAGACTTGGATAGTTAAAGACCCCCTGCTCACTGTGTAGCTTTTCATCTTTCAGTGGTGTGCAGCACCTCTAGATTACAGGTGATAAGTTCTCATCAGGGAATGATCTGGGAAATGCTGTAAAAACAGATGGAAATGGCAGACATTCTTTTTTAAAAAACACTTTTTTTAATTGTTGTCATAATGTGTCTAATGTATAATCCTTTACAGAACACAAAACGTTTTGCTTTTCACATTTTTGCTACATGTTCAACAATTTTTCTCTGGTTTTCCTTTATCACTATTTACATTTTGAAAAGTTTTCAGAGGCTTATTTAAATAAACTGGTCAGTGATCATCTGATAGGGAGGGTGAAGCAAATACATGTGTTGAGAGTCGTGTTTGTCTGGTTTGTATATTTTATGGTGATGTACTGTATGTGTGTATTTATTTCTATGTAATTTGGGGAGCTTGAAGACGCAATTTGCCAAAATAAAAAAAAAAAAGCATACCACTTTTGCTACTTTTCTCCTTTTTAAACACTATTATGAAAAAAGTGACAGCAGTGTTGATTTGCTTCACATCTTAAACACAACTTGCACATGTCTAACCTATAGCCCCCTCACCCCACTTCTGCACTCTTCTCACTCTTTTCAAATCACTGTAAATGTTTGTGAATATATTAAAGTATTTTTCCATAGCATTAAAGGTACATTATGTTAAAACTGGAATGTGGATTATGTAGAATCAACCACAAAACAATTACACCAGATATGGCTGTATTTTGTTCAAATTAGTTGTCAATACGCGGTTACATTGTCCACATTCGTGCCCTTACACAATGGTACCTTTAAAGGGACAACACTGTTAGAGTATGTAAGAGTGGTTCCTTGTCAGTGCAAGGGAAACGTGTTTCTATGAAATTCAGATCAGTTCTTCAGAAGGTGTGTTTACGTGCACATCAGTCAGTGCCATTGGTGTACTGGGAAAGCTTATTCTCCAAGTCACAGATTCTCTTCTCCTGAGACAAAACTGTGGCCTTCAGATTCTGAATCTCCTCCAGCAACCTCTCAAGCAACTGAGGCTGGACAGGAGGAGAGAGGAGAGAAGGTAGAAAAGGGAAACAGAAGAAGAAAGGAAAAAAAGACAGTGACAAGAAAGGGGAAAATTAAGGATAAAGAAAAAGAGAAAGAGGAAAAATAGGTCAAGGACAGTGAGCAACTAGAAAAAATAAACCAAAACAAAGGGAGCTTTGGAAAATAAAAAAGTTGTGGGCAGATACAAATAGAAGAGAGATGATCAGAAAAGGGTTAAACAGAGAGATGTTCTCAGGATTAATGGTTCATTCAGATTGCAGGCTGCAAAACTATAGTCTTTTTTTAATGGAACATGTGCAACATAAACCTAAAGCATATACAATACATCAGCAGTGTCAGCCGTGAAGAATGACACAACTTTTGTAGCCTGCAATGTGAAAGCAGATTAGAATAGATGAGTAATATTCTGCTGTAGCTATGTGTTTGTAGTGTAACAAACAGTAGTTCACATACATTATGTGAGCATAACGTAGCAGCAGGTAAGCTAAAGAACTTACCGGCAGACTGTTGGTGTCCAAAGTGGACACGCTGCGTCGGGTGGTGGGTCTTGAGCCCAGCACATTCTTCTTAGCCACTTTGAGCTCTCGGCTCTTTGGGGGCACGTAGCCATCCCTCATAGACACTAGAATCGGATCCTCGTCGCGACCATCTAGCCACTCGTCAGGCTCCATGGCGGGCTCAGGCCCCGCTGTGTCCGGGTACAGGTCGTCCTGGAATAGGTCCGACTGTGCGAGAAATTGGTGAGGTGAAAAAAGTAGACAGATTGTGGTTTTTGTTTTGGTATGTACTCTACAGCGCTTTCTTTTGCAAAGTTATACATGAAGAGTACTTTCATGTTGCGGTCAAAGTGCAATTGCTTTTTCATATACAATATATCAAAATTTAGAAAGTCATTATCGTTATTGTATGAAAAATGTCCATTTGAAAGGTAACTAGTAACTATAGCAGTGGAAAAGAAATGTAATGTAGTGATATGTACAGTACTTCCTTCTGATCTCTAGTGGGACTGAAGTAGTGTAAATGTAAAATACATTGAAGTACAAGGACCACAAAAATTTACTTAAATACAGTATACACTCAGCTGTCTTCCACAACTGTAAAAATCAAAAGCTTGTAAGGTATGCTCAATAGACTGGCAGGACTTACTTTTCTGGGCACTGTCATTGTGATGGGCTCACACTTCTTGTCAAGGAGCTTGAATAATCTAAGAGATAAAGAGAAAAGAGGAGACAGAACAGAGAAAAGAGGAGAGAAGACATCCATCTGTTGATTTGTTACACATCTGTGCATCAATTTATGCTTTAAGTTTCTACGTGTAAAGTATCAGATGATCAAATGCACTTTGGCATCATGTTTAGAGTTGAATGGCAGATAATTCAATAGATATGGAAATAAATGCAGTGGATAAAATAGTGGAAAAAGATAATTTGGTGAAGTAATATACTTTTAAGTCCTGAATTTTGTGAAATTGAAGTTTCTCCAAAGAAGAATAGCCTCCAGAAAATCTCATGAAGTAATGATTAGAGAAAAAGTCAAACTCTTCACTCGACAATTAATGGATCACGTCTTCAGTTATTGACAGTGCAATAACTACTGCATATTTGTAAATGCCATTAACCTTTATTCTGGAGGGTGATATACTGACGAATCCATTGAACCAATGAGACACCGAAAACAAGAGACGGACCCCAAATGGCTTTTGATATCACCATCAAGCTTGCTGCATGTGACGTCTCATAATGTTATTCAATGAATTGTCAGTTAAGACACCAGCACATCAGTGTAACAAGCAACATCTGCAGACTTTAAATCCCATCAAATACATATAATCTCATTTCATGAAACAATTCAGTAAAGCTGTAATCTTGGGTAATTTATTGCACAGTCAGTGTCCTACCTGGCGATCTCACATTTGGTGACGTCCACACCTCTCTTGGGCATGAAGCCCATCCCTCTCTGGGGCTCCTTACTGCTGAAGGTGTTGAGGTAGTGGACGTACGGCGGCTCCTCTGTGATCTCAAAGTAACGGATACTGCTGTCCCCCTACACATGCACCAAACACAGAAAACATGTATGAAACATGTCAGAAACAAATGCGACATCGTTATTATTAAAGCTGGAAATGCAGTGGATCTGCACACATATCTGTACATATTATGCAATACATTTAATGTAAATGTCCTGTACCTTTCCACAGAGATAGACCATGTTTGCGTCTGCATCATAATATGGTAACAACACTCCATTGCTTGTGTCCAGCTCCAACAGTGCAATAGGCTCCTCGAAATTTGTCTGAGGAAATTTTGAGAAAGCCTGCATTTTGTGTACATGCATATACTGTAAGTGTACATACAGTATATTTCTGAACTTATTGATTGTTTGTTACCGGGTCCCAAAGTCCGAGCTCTCTCTGGCTCATCCTTGTGAACCCTGTGGTGAAGATATTTCCGTCTCTGGTGAAGATGGCTCTCATTGGCCGGATCCCCTCATGTGGAGCCAGACGTTCCTGTTTATCAGCAGAGGACAGACAAAAATAAAAATCATTGCTGTCCTCCATTTTTTTAATTTAATTTCCAACATTTTATGTCTCACTGTGTCTTGAAGTCCTGTTTTTTTCTACTAAACTAAACTTCTTTTTGAAAAACTAATTTATCTCAATCTAATGGTTAATTATTCTGCTGCCAGATTTCAATGTATTAGCTATTTGTCTGTGTGAACTGTGAACAATGTCAGAACAAGTATTGAATTGGCACATAACAACTGTACATATAAAACACTGCTTTAAAGGAATAGTTCAACATTTGGGAAATACATTTATAACAGAAGAAGGTATTATGTGTTAGTGAGCTTTAGAATTGTGTTTTTTCTACTCACTCACCGCAACCACCTCCCTCTTGCGGGGATCGCAGACACGTAGACGTCGGTCCTTACAGGTGGTGCAAAACAAGCTGCCATTTCTGTTCCAGCTGATGCTGTAGATGAGGTCTGGGTGGTCGTCCATGGAGATAAGGGGCTCACCTGTTCCCACGTTCCAGATGATAACCAGGTTATCACTGCCTGGGGTGGGGGGATAAAAGGGTCAGAAAAAGAAAAGATGGACATCTGAATGTAAGAAAAATCCTGTTGATGTCTATTCTCACGTCAGTGTTAGATAACATCTAAAAAAGAGGATAACATAGAATAGAAGAAAACACAGGTTGTGTGGGTATGTCTTTGTGTATATATCCTACCCGCACTGAGGAGTATGTTGCGTGCGGTGGGGTGCCAGCTGACAATGCCTACGCGTTTCGAGTGTCCCTCGAGGACCACAACAGGGTCAGACAGGGGGCGAGTCAGTGAATGATCTGGTATCTGCCACACCTAAAGGAGAGAGATGAAGGAACAAACAACTAATATTACAGTGACCAGAAGGATGACACAATGGCACTGAACTAGGAAAAATGTGATAGCAGTCAGAGAAAATTGAGTTGAAAAAATGTATTTATTTATGCACAAACATCAAATCACAGAGGACAGTTAACTGTAGGCCCACATCTTTCCCAGATCGCAGAAAACATTTGGCCCAGATCTGGTGCCAAGCCACCATAAAATCTGGGCCATAGTATAGCAAAGCATGAGAAGTCATAAAAAAGTCACATTATAGTAAGTCATAAAAAGTCATAGTATGGAAAGGTATGAAAAGTGAAAAAAAACGTCATGATATAGTAAGGCAAGAAAAGTCATAAAAGACATCATAGAATAGTAAGGAATGAAAAGTCATAAATAAGTAAGAGTATGTTTAGTCATGAAAAGTCATAAAAAAGTCAAAGTATAGTACGGCATGAAAAGTCATAAAAAAGTCATAGTATAGTATGTCATAAAAAGTCATGATATAGTAAGGCATGCAAAGTCATAAAAAAGACATAGTACAGTATGGTATAAAAAGTCATAAAAAAGTCATAGTATAGTATGTCATAAAAAGTCATGATATAGTAAGGCATGCAAAGTCATAAAAAAGACATAGTACAGTATGGTATAAAAAGTCATAAAAAAGTCATAGTATAGTATGTCATAAAAAGTCATGATATAGTAAGGCATGCAAAGTCATAAAAAAGACATAGTACAGTATGGTATAAAAAGTCATAAAAAAGTCATAGTATAGTATGTCATAAAAAGTCATGATATAGTAAGGCATGCAAAGTCATAAAAAAGACATAGTACAGTATGGTATAAAAAGTCATAAAAAAGTCATAGTACAGTATGGCATAAAAAGTCATAAAAAAGTCATATTATAGTATGGCATGAAAAGTCATAAAAAAAGTCATAGTATAGTGTGACATGAAAAGTCATGAAAACCTCATAGTATATTATGACATGAAAAGTCATGAAAACCTCATGTTGTAACAAACAACATCTGCAGACTTTAAATCCCATCAAATACATATAATCTCATTTCATGAAACAATTCAGTAAAGCTGTAATCTTGGGTAATTTATTGCACAGTTAGTGTCCTACCTGGCGATCTCACATTTGGTGACGTCCACACCCCACAAAAAGTCATAGTATAGTATGGCATAAAAAGTCATAAAAAAGTAGTGGTATAGTATGGCATAAAAAGTAATAAAAAAGTCATAGTACATATTGGCATAAAAAGTCATAATAAAGTCATAGTATAGTATGGCATAAAAAGTCATAAAAAAGTCATAGTATAGTATGGCATAAAAACTCAAAAAAGTCATAGTATAGTATGGCATAAAAAGTCATAAAAAGGTCATAGTATAGTAAGTCATGAAAAGTCAGAAAAAGTCATAGTATAGTATGGCATAAAAAGTCATAAAAAAGTCATAGTATAGTATGGCATAAAAAGTCATGAAAAAGTCATAATATGGTAAGTCATGAAAAGTCAGAAAAAAGTCATAGTATAGTATGGCATAAAAAGTCATAAAAAAGTCATAGTATAGTATGGCATGAAAAGTCATGAAAACCTCATAGTATAATAAGTCATGAAAAGTCATAAAAAAAGTCATAGTATAGTATGGCATAAAAAGTCATAGTATAGTATGGCATAAAAAGTCA